ACAGGTCGATGCAGGGCTGGGTTTAAAACACGTTCGCAACCTCAGGCTTATTCTCTGTTTGAAATTTTGGACTCCTGTCGAACACAAGTTTGGTTTTTTTTTAAAAATAAAAGAGAACAAGCAGACACAGCGTAACAGAAAAAATGTTATAAAAATAGGAGGTTGCTACCACACTCATTAAAAACCGCCATGGTCCCAGAGACCTAAATCCAGCTTTAAAATCTTGGGAGGTGAACCCCAACCGGCAAACATGCATTTCGAGATTGTTTTGGATACAGTTTGGCTGCTGCTGCGCAGGCTGGTGTTTATCGATAGGGACAGATGCACAGAAAGGGATTCCTGGTTGCTCGACAGTTCATCTGCCCTTGCAGCTTCACTCACAGGGAGAATTAAGGCACAATATATACTCTAAACAGAGGGCAGTTACGTAGAGGATCAAGTCCCCGGGAGGTGGAAGGGTTCTCGTGGTGCTGGGCTCCCTCCTCACCCGGCAGCGATGGCGCAGGGGCCGAAGCCCAAGACTTCATACAGCGGAGCCACAGCTATGCCCTGGGCTAGGGGAAAATCGGACACACGGGTCTAAGGGTTTTCTCTGGCCTGAAGATCTGCAGATCTCTCCTCCCCACCAGACACGATGCTGCCTTGCCCTGGCCAGATACAAGCTGGCAAAGAGGGTGATGGACTCCAGATGCCTACCTAGGAGGAGGGAGTAGTCATCAGGACAGATGAGCAGCCGAGCAGCCATGATCCCATGCAGACCTGTCGTCTAACCCAGTGTCCTGCAAAGCATGCGGTCAGCCAAACATTTTCCAGTGAAGCATCTGAGAAAAGTTTTTGTGAGGAGCTGAGGGGACATTTGGCAAAGGGAAGGGATGGTGGGTGAGCAATAAAGCTCACTCAGTGACCAGCCTGGAGGTTCTCATGAGGGGCAGCGAAGCACAAGCTTCACTCCCCACTAATTAAAATAACAAATGAGACTGAAGCAGCCATGTTGCCACTCCCCATCTTTGACCCAACCTCAGATGCAGCTAACGCAGCCATTTGCAGTCTCTACCATCAGCAGCAGGTACGGGCCGGAGCGTGAACACGCAGTGGGATGTGCGTGGCCGGCTGCTCGCACCCGTGCAGGACCTCAGTGGGTCCTGGCATGGAAATGAGGACTTGCCTGCAGGGCCCCCGTGCTGTGCCAAGGCCCTGATGATTCTCACTTTGGTTTCTAGCCCCTCTTGCAGTGCCCGAGATACATAAGGACTGCGCTGCCTCGAACAAGCCCGAGCCGTGGGTGCAGGAGGGAGGCTGCTAACCTGCTCCCCCACCACGCAACCTCTCCCCAGCAATCCGCCCCCTCCAAGCCAAGCATCACTTTCAACTCTTTTTTTTAAAAAAAGCTACATCCCCTAAATATTTCTACTGGTCACAGATGAAAAACAACAAAACCCCCACTTCTTCAAAGACCATTTGATGACCCGATGGTGTCATTTCAAAAGCCATCCAAGAGCAACTGCATATTTGAAGTGAAGAGCTTAAGAATATAATTTCAAATCACTGTTGGCAAATCTATGTACAGCAAAACCAATATATCACCATCCTCAAAGACATTATACACAGCAGGCACCACCTATCTAAGCCACTGAAAATATCACTGTAGGTCACACCGGCTACAAGACTGACTGCTCTGCTCAGATTGTATCCCACATACTTTAATATTGAAACTATACATTCCTTTCTCCTGTTTTTAATCATGAGTTGAGAGGGAGAGTAGTCCTGGGTTTGGGACTTCTCTTGTTTCAGAATTGCTGTCACATGTTGGATTTTCAAGGCATTGCGGCTTTGCCATAAGGCTCTTCATCTTTGGAAATATCCCTATCGACCTGCATCGCAAGGTTTCTCCAGGGGGAGAAAACCCATACTTACTGCTTCTAAACTGCATTCACTTCCATCCAGATCACTATCTTTAGCCAACACAAGCCTCACAGGTTTTGGCTTCATACAGTCCTGCTTCAGACCTTCTACACAATCTAGAAAAAATCAGCACCAGTGGACCTACCATCTCAGCAGGTTTGGGTTAGGAAAATACCGTGGCGTTTATCAACACTGCTGCATTTCCCTTTTTCAAACTACTTGCTCACTAAGATACAAAGGTTTCTTTTCCATTTCCTACACACAGAGGCATGTCCTCCTTTCCCCACGATGAAAACATCCAAACTCGAGATCTCATTTACTTGCCAATGAATAAGCCTTTGGCACGGCTGCAAACTTGATGTGAATCAGGGGAGGGGAGGTCGTATGGGTGCACAGCTCTTCACGATACTGAGTAACACGCAACTTTCTTATTCTTAGATAACTGTTGAGAGGCAGTGTGACACGATCTGGGAACTTAAGGGCTGACTTTCATCAGTTTCTCTCTGTCGGTCTAACAATAAGACAGAGATTCCTATTTTAGCAGTTATTTGTCTAATATTTTTCCCCTTAACTAAATAGGAAGATTTCATTTCCTTCCCTTCAAACCTTCCCCTCAATTGTTATCTGGCTACCAGCAAAGATCTGTGAGAAAGTGTCTCAGAAATAGAGATTTCTGGCATGCCACCTGTTCATAACTCAAATACACAGAACTATATATAAATACATGACATGGAACAAAAATACACACACACAAGGATACTGGGTGGATTTTCAAACGCATTCAGCTTGCTCCCTCTGAAGTCAATGAAAACCCAACCCAGAGCGTCTGATGAGAGTAAATATGGTGAGGAAAACATACACATGAGAAAGGCAGAACTGGAGCACAAGCCAGCTCGGAGGAGGTGCTTTCCCTGCGTACATCACCGCATCCCCGCTGCGAAGGCTCAAAGAGTTCATAGGGCAGGAGGTCCTAAGCTTTCCAGATGTGTGTCAGAGCCCGGAGAGGGTCTGATGGACTTCTCTCTGCCCCGTGCTGATCTCTGCAGGAACAGCAACAATTGACCTTCCAAATGTCCCTTCTCCACTAAGATGTGGATTTTAAGCTCCTTTTAATGAGAGCTAGCATCTGGAAACAAGGAAGAGCAGCCAGCACCGTGGCAACGGGCCAGCTCTGCTGCAGGCACCCCCAGCAAGCTCGTACAAGAGCAGTCCATGGGCTACTGTTGGCGGATGGCTTTGGGACAAAACTGGAGTTGCTGCCCTTGCCTTTTTCCCGACTGCCACAATCGTCTGTTTGTTCATTATCTTGCGGTGGGACACTTGGGCACGTCATTTTTGAAGCTGGACTGGTACATTTTCATGCCGCTTTCTCGCCCACGCTGTCCCCTGCATACACATCTACAGTGCAGAAGGGATGCTTAGTGCTAACCAGGACAATGAAAACTGGCCAAGAGATCCCACGGATGAATGCAGTCTGCCACAGCACAGAAATCACTCTGGCTGGCACACGCAGATATCTGAAAGTTTGTTCTTTCACAGCAGGATTTTAAGATGATCCTCTGAGTTCAGACAAAATGACAAACTCATTTACATGTAAATTGCTTTCGTAGCTTTGCAGAAAGAAAGGTTCTGCCGAGCAGTGTTGGACCCTGCATTTGGCCTGCCTTAAATTATAATATAACAACAATTATAATAATACAAATACTACTTTGTACACAAAGCACGCCCTCCCCTGCAAACCCTGGCATGCTTCGGTAGGTCCTACAGCCCTCTAGTCAATAATCACCCTCTCTGCACAGACAGACATTGAGTGACTTGCCTGAGGCCACAGAGGAATTCTGTAGCAAGTCCAAGGAAAGCTTTGTGGCTCCTAGCTCTGCTTCTTGACCAACATTAACCAGCCTCAAATATATGCAAAAAACATCAAAGCTGACTGTGCCAGGAAGAAATTCAATCAGAAAACAAACAGAAAACCAACCCTGGGGTACTGCGAGGCCTCCTGGACTTTGCTGTTTGATCAGGGGAGTTAAGTGTTAAAAGCTTTTGTTATACTTGTATTAGGATCACACAGCAATTGCGCATATATCACCAAGTTAGCTGGTAGGCAGAAAGGGGTGGAAAGAAAGCTGCACCTCCCCTGACAAGGAGTGAAGAGTTGTCACCAAAAGACAATGGGCAAAGGAAGGCTGGGGAATATGCATCAGAAACAACCTGCAACAGCAGCAGGAGGTAAAGGCTGCAGTGATTTGCTGCAGCATATCCACAGGGGCCAGCATCTCGAGGCAGAGACACAACCTGACCCTGCAGAGACCATCTCCTCTGCACACCACGTTTGCTCCAAGGAGGAAGCCACAGGGCTCTAGAGAGAGGGTCTTTTCAAACCGATTTTGATGCTTCACAGTACAAATCTATCTGAAAGGAGGGACGTCGGCAACAACAAGAGCCACCACAGCGAGGCTAGAGGGGAAAATGAAGCTGCACTAGGGCACAACCCTGCTGGAAAAGGGAGAATAGTTAGCTTTACTGAGGCTGAGTCTCCTCTCTGCTATGCCAGGGCAGTGGAGATCTCCATTTCGTATGCTTTCAAGCAGCTCTCTGGATCCTGCAGAACTGCTGAAGTTGTCCCTGCGAACAAATGGTCCTTTCTAGCTTCTCAAATTCTGTACAATAGCAAGGAAAAAATACTTGACAGTATCTCTTTAAAGATAAACACACTGTAAACAGGAGATCTCCCCCGCCCCGGTAGCTTTCTTCCTCCTGCTTGTGCAAAACCAGAGGTTGCGACCTTCCCTGGGGTTCAGGCACAAGGACAGGATGCGCGAGAATAAAGTTGCCTCTGTTTGCAGCGATACCATAGCTAATAGCACCAAGACCAACACTTAAAACATGCCTAATTTGAGGGCAGGGAGGATCTGGGTTTGTTTTTCTTGACTGAACTAGAAAGTTCATCTTTAAATCTGTTCAGCTTCAAGCATGTGAGCTTTTGGCCTCCTTTAAACAGGGGAAATACCATTCCGTTTCTGAAAAGAAAAAAAAAAATAGCACATGGAAGAACAGTTCTGCAGTCAGTAAAAGTTTGGCTAACAAAAGGACTCCAGAGTCACGTAAAGAACATTTAATCCATGGATTATAGGCTCGCACCTGGCAGAAATGCATGTGTAAATACAGGCGTGCAGAGCGTCTACACCCTGGGCTAAGGCAGAGGGGAGTTCTGTAGCTAGGAGAGAGAAAGGATTCTTACTACTAATTTTCATAGTTAAATATTTCTCACTCGCACTCACACATACGCAGACTGTTCCCAGAGAGCTCAGCCTTGGGAAGGATAAAGGAAAGGGCTCAGTTCGGTCTGGGCTGGTGCTGAGTAGCTCCTCTTCTGTTTGCAGTGGTTGTGCAGCAAACTCTTATTTGCAGGCAGAGTTTTTACTGCATTAATTATCCTGTGAGTCACTGGGTAATGGACAGTAACTTGGCTCTCCCAGTTGTTAGAAGGGTGTAATTCAGCTCTAATGCAGTGGGTTGTCGAACACAGCATCTGGCAAGATGGAAACTTTCAGTTTCTTTTCAGGCCAGCTGTACTCCTTTGGAAGTTTAAACTGTAAGACAGTAAAGAGAACCGGTTAATGTATATTGCTGCAACCTGCACAGAAAAAACAAAATCGTTGCAAAGGCAAGCAGCCCCATGTTATTATTATTTTTTAAAACAAGAGGCCACTAAGAAAACATTTCCCCATCAGTATGTTTTGGACAGCAGTGGACATTAGATAATGTGGCCTGTGCCTCAGCTGCCAAAGTAAAGTTCTGAGATTTCAGCCCAAGCACTGTTTATTTCATCAGATAGATTCTGGAGGGTTTCTGCCCCCAACACCATTTCTCCTCCCCGACCTCTCTGAACACTCGCAGCGCAAGTGTCTCCCCTCCTACCTGACCATGTCCCTTTTCTTTCATCTACCCCTGCCCCCAGAGCCCCCCATGTGCTTTAAAGGGGGACTTATGGTAGCTTTTAAACTCTTGCTTGTACAGCGTGGGATGTAAGGGAGCCAGCATGGCTCTGCCGGGTGACAGGCTTGCAAATGGCCATCACGTCTGGGAGGGCAAACTGTGCCACCCTGGCTGGGGGGAGCCAGCATGCCTGAACAGCATTTCTGCTCCAGCCCTACCCACCTCTGGTCCCAAGGCTTCGCAGAGTGCCTGTACAAAGCCTCATACTCACTCAGGCACTCGGCTACTCAGGCTGTTTTGCAAACATTGATTGAAGCAGAGGGAACGGAGATTTTTTGCCCCAGTCTGGTTTACACAGCACTGTCTCTGGCCAATGTTTCCCAAACAAGGCAAGTGCACTGGTCCCATCCTGACACTGCTCCGGGGCGCCCTGCCTCAGTCTGGGAAGTCACCCCAACATCTCTGATCCCAACCCTGACTGTGTTGGACCAAGGACCTTTACCACCAACCCTTCTCAAACCTACTTTTGACCAGGGCCCATGCATTCACACAGATCTCTCAAAAACAGCTCTGTAGAGGGGTGTGGAAGGTGGGGGATGGAATCTCTTAAGCTACAGATCTGCCCCACAGCTGGATGGCAACCAGCTCTGGACAAGCATTTCACGCAATCCCAGCACCCAGACTGAGGGTCCAAAACCCGTGGGGGACAGCTCTGGAAGCCAGTTTGCAGGACAATTTTGTTTCTAAAACTCTGCTGCACCCATGGTGTAGCACCTCCTGACACCCTGATGGGACTCCCAGGGAGAAATCTCACCGGGATCCCACACCACCAGGAACTCAGAATGGTTACAGATACAGTGGTCCTCTCCGAGGAGAGTCCTCAGACCAAGGCCAGCAGTATGGTAAGCTTCCCAGCGGCTACATGAATTAGAGAGCTGGTGCAAGGGGACAGTGTCCTGCGAATCATCTATCCATCTTTATCCAATTATTTGTCTTCCTTCCTGTAAGCGCCCCTTTTCTGAAGGACATTAACACACGCTTACTGGCAGGTTCCTGCTAGAGGAGATCCCCTTCAGCTGCCTGCTCCCCAGCAAGGGTGGCTCTAACATGAATTTGCCCCTGACCTTGCTCCATTTGCAGCTGTGCACAAGGGTAACCTGCAGTTGGTAACCATTGACCTTGGTATGCTGGGCTGGTGCTTCAGGGTCTGACCCATGATCTGGGGGCATGGCAGGAGACTCCCTCAGGATAGTGGCTACCATAAACTCCTACTCTTTCTCCCCTAGGAAACATAAACAGCCCAAGTCCCACTTATGGTTGATTTTTTTTTTAAATTCAGGCCCTGCGTATAGCTTGTACCATATCATCTAGTGGCCCTACACTGCCCAGGGGATTCTTCTGAGTTCAATGTCTATGGTATGTGAAAAACATGCTAAAGATACTCAGACAGATCTTAATTCCACTTAACACAGGTGGCTCTTTATGCAGCAAAGGAAAGAGTCTCCTTGCAGCGCTTCGTTCTACCACATGAGTATCATCAGCAACAGCCAGTGCTGCTGAGGAACGCCTTCAGTTGGCCCAACCCGGGATCCTGCAAGTTACAAATCCTTGGAGGAATCTGGATGCTGAAAGATCACATTTCATCTCAAGTATTTTCCGTTTTATAAACAGGAGTGGTTCCAAAGCAATCCTCTTGGAGAAGTCCTCCTTTGCATTTGTTTGTTTTTCACTTTTTAATTTAGCAAAGTCACAGTAACTCGGAACCGAGTGCCTGGTCGCTATGCCAGGAGCTGCCATGCCCATTGCCTCTGCCTGTCAGCGGAGAGTGAAGCAACATGAGCCGTCCAAAGCCTTAACTAAAGGGCCTTCAAACCAAAGTGCTCCTGGGCTTCCATGTCACTAGCAAAAATGAGCTTTGGATTAGATTTAACTGGCTAAAAGCTGGCCTGAAAGTCACTGCACAGCCAGCAGTGTGCTTCCCTTTACTCACACACTGAAGAACACCCTGGCATTAAATCAACTCTGGATTAAACAATTAGAGCCCTGAGATTTTCCTGGGGGGAGGGGAGCAGGGCGAGGGATAGGAGGGCTGCTCTACAAGCCAAGGAAAGTTTCTTTAGAGTCTGCAGGGAGCTGTAAAAAATGGGATTAAAAATATTACATGTCATTTCTGCCATTGCTCTTTGAAGTCAAGCAGAATATTTATATGGCATGCATGGGAGACAGGGTGTTAAATGTTCCCCAGGAAGAGATCACATGGCAGGGGGAAGTTTAGCATCGCACAGCAAAGCTTTATAAAGCTCCCTTGGCTGCTGCTATAATGCTTCCAGGCTGGTGATGGTCCTCTGCACGCTGTGCAGGGGCAGCAGGTGAAGGCCAAGCAGCAGATGTGAAAAAGCCCCTGTCCGCTCCCCAAACCCAAAAAAGAAGGCACCTACAACAGATTGTTCAGCAGTAAATGTGCTGCCGCCGCTTTTGACCTTTCTGAAAGTGGAGAAGGTGATGTGTCTGGAGCTGCTGCTGAGGACACTATGCACAGCACGGAGGAAACCCCACCACCTGGACCAGGGGCTGCACTGCTTTGATTTGGAGCGCTCAGATACCATGTTGGGAAAGATGCTGGTGGAAAGGAAATGCAGAGTCTCCCTTAATACCCATCCCTGCCCTGTATTTCTTGCAATCTGTTCTCTCAGTGCAGATGTGAAGCTTTAGCAAGGCCTCAAGTCTACGGGGCAGGGCTGCAGCCTGCGAGCTGAGGGGAAGATCAAAGGCAAGCTGCAGGACGGGCTGAGCTCTCTGGGACAGTACATGGGAGACATGGGAATGACGCAGCCTTACTTCCTCTGGAGAATTCAGATCTTCTAAATCTTCCAGCATTCTCTCTACGAACTCTTCGGTCAATAGGATCTGCAAAGGAAATACAGTCGTTTACGCCTTTACGCTCCTCATTTTAGCTAACTGCCAAGAAACAGAACGACTTCTGCAGGGAGCAGGCTGTTCCAGCTCACTCCTTCCCCCATGTCCTTCTTTCCCGCAATACAAAGGTTTGAGGGCAAGGAGCTCCTAACTTTGCCTCCCACCCCAACCACTGCAAAAAAAATGTTAAAATTATACAGCAATCTTTTTTGACCCTCAATTATCTTCCTCAGTCTAAAATTAGAGGCTCAGCTTTAGACAGACAGAGTGGGGAAGGAGGAAAAAGGGTCAAGATAACAACTGTTGGAGAGACAGTGGGAGACAGAGCTGCTTTCATCTGATCCATTGAAGTTAAGCTCACAGTTTAATCAGGAAACAGCAGTGCAGGGAGAGCCTAAGACCCGTACAGAGCCGGTACTCTGACCCGAGAGCAGCACATTGCGCAGATGAACCAGATGTTGGGTACGGGAGGTGCTCCCAGAGGTGCCCACAATAGGCACCTCCACGTTGTATCGCACGTGCCCATCCTGCCTGCCTCTGCTGGGAAAGCTTTTGGCTCACCTCAAAGCCAGGTTGGCAAGCATGAAGTGGCCCAGGAAAGCAGCTGCCGATGGGTCAAATTTCCCAGCTGAGGGCCACGACCTTGGCTCCATGGAGCCCCCCAAGTCACACAAACCAGAGACACCAGTGGGGGGAAAGCAGCCCTGGGAATTCAAGGGGAGGAACTGCCACCTTCTTTTAAAAAGCCTGTGATAGCCAAAAGCAAACACGTCCTGCCTCTCTTCACAACAGCCGTAAAGGCCAGAGCTCCAGGCAGGCCAGCTGGCTTGGCACAGGAGCAGAGACGGCAGTGCGGGACCAGGCAAACATCCCCGCGCGGTGAGGG